TTTTATAACATCTCAATGTATTCATTATACTTTTATATTCAACCACCAACCTACTCGGGTTATTAATGGATAATTAATGGTGTCATTATTTTTCGTCATTATAATAAATATTATTTTTTTTCATTATAATAAATATTATTTTTCTACTACAAATATTAAATCAATAATTTTAAAATTATAATAATGATATTTACATAACAATAAATCGTAAACTGATATTTACTAAGTCGATATGTAACTAACAATAAATCGTAAAATACTTTAAATAATATATTTTTACACTTACTTGAGAGTTTCTTTCGACAAGTTAATGTTATAAAAAAAACTTTTTCAAATTTTTTACTCACTTCTTTTTTACATGCAACAACATATTAAAATTAATATTTTAATATTAAATAATACGAAATAGAGATATTTTATTTGAATACGAATAAAATTTTATTCGAATAATACTTACAGATTAAAGATTGGAAGAAAAATTCGTTCAAAATTTTCTCTAATATTCTTTTCGAATGCTTACTCTTTCAATTCTTCTCTAGATTTTGCCTCTTTTCTCCTTTTCCCACCACTACTTTACTCCCTAATTCTCAACCAAAACACCTCATTTTATAATATCCCGGATATTTATTATAATTTCCCGTTCAACCACCAACCTACCCGATTATTAATGAACAATTAATAGTTTCATTATTACTTACATGTTTCCCAGTCGAAGGCAACCTACCACCCTACACTGAAGACACCGAGTAATCCTGGTGTCTTTTGCATGGCCTGAATGCCTGAAGACGTCAAGTACTCTCGGAAGCTTCATTTTTGCCTGAAGACGCCGAGATTTTTTTGAGACTTTCTCGTTGTACTATAAAAATTACCCTAGATAGGGAATTAATCTGGCAACCACATTATTTTGGGAATTAAATATTCCCAACCACATTATTGTGACCATTTTACCGAGCTAACGTTCATAATCTAATCTCAAGAAATTATTAAATGGAATCTTGACTAAAACAGAGTTATTAATATACTCAATTTAAAAGTAATAAATAATTATAATGTATATTATTTTCATTTTAAATATTAACATTTTAATTTGTTTGATATAATCTTGATCCATTGAACGGTCACTCTAAATTGAATACTATAAATACTTATTATAAAGATGATATTAATTTTTAATTTAATTTAAGAAATTACGTATAATTTAATTAGATCAATTAATAATTAATATATTAAATAATATTTAATAAACAATTCAAATTTTATTATTTTTCAAATGGATGTACTTACCAGTTTAATTTGATTGTAAATGGGTTTTTAATCAATTCATTGCTTCATTCATAATATATTTATTTGCATTTATAGAACTAAATACATCATAAATTAACAAACAAAAATATTTGTTTTTATCAACAAGATTAAAAAAACATGTTAGATTTGAATTTTGTATTTTTTTTTTATTATGGATATGATCAGATCCTGTTTTAAATTTTGGGGAATTCTTAACTTCCACAATCCCTCCAACTTTATTGCTTTCCTGAGTCCAATTTGTTCAATTAATATTAATAATAAGAGTAAATTACATGTTTTTAATATTTTAAATATCATATTTATTCTATTTTAGTCATCTAACTATTTTTTTTTTGTTTTAAAATTATACCTAATGTTATGTTTTAGTTTCATCTGCAGTTAAAAAATAACAATAATGTTGACGTATCATCATAAGATAATGTTACATCATCATTAAAATAATTTAAAAAATATCACCTCAGCAACTTTGTTAATAATTTAACGATTGATAACAAAAATGTAATGTCAGGTATAATTTTTTTTAAAAATAGAGTATATAAAACATAACAAAAGTGATAGTTGAGGTACTCAATGTGTAGTTTACCCTAATAATAATAATCAAAATAAAGTATAAAAATAAAAATAAGGGTAAACTACACAATTAGTACCCCAATTTCTATTTTTGTTCCGTTTTGATCATCCAACTATTTTTGTTTAGAAATCATTCCTAATATTATGTTTTGATTTCATTTTGGTCATCCATCGTTAAAAAATTAACGATGATGTTAATGTGTCACCATAATATAAGGTCACATCATCATTGATTTTTTTTAAATACCGCTTCAACAATTCTATTAATTTTTAACGAAAGGTAGTCAAAATAAAATCAAAACATAACGTTAGGTATGGTTTCAAAAATAATAATAGCTAGTGTCCGAAACAGAATAAAAGTGATAGTTGAGGTACTAAAAATGTAGTTTACCCTACAAAAACTTGACTACTGCTGAAAATGATACGGGCGTATGCAATCCACAAGCGTTGCCTTTAGATAAAGGCCACTTAACCATGATCCATGAAAATTGCTGGCTCTGAAACAAGCACCAACCGAAAGTAAACCATTCATTCCAATGGCTGCTCTTGCTTCTTCCTCATCCTCCTCCTCCCTCCTCTTCACCACTCCACCTTCCAAGCTTCCTTCACCTTCTTCTCTCTGTCCATTCCCACGCTTATCTCTTCCCATTTCCTCTTTCCTTTCTTCTCCTCTATCAATCTCTCCTTCCTCCCTTCCCTACCCCACAACCTCTACACGCTGCTTCGCTTCTTTCACCGTCAGGGCCGCCGCTGCTGCAGACAAGAAGAAGGTCCTTATAGTCAATACAAACAGTGGTGGCCATGCAGTCATTGGTTTCTACTTCGCAAAAGAACTTCTGGGTTCTGGCCATGAGGTCACCGTCATGACCGTTGGAGATGAGGGCTCGGATAAGATGAAGAAGCCCCCTTTTAACAGACTCTCAGTAAGAACTTGTTTTCTGGGTTTTTTTTTTTCATTTGGTTTCTAATGGGAACTTGTTTTGCATGGGATTTGATAATGATTATAGGAAATTACAAGTGCTGGAGGGAAGACGCTGTGGGGAGACCCTGCGAATGTAGGGAATGTTGTTGCAGGGACATCATTTGATGTGGTGTTGGATAATAACGGCAAGGACTTGGACACCGTCAGGTTTGTTTGCTGTATCATTTTCCTTCCAAAATTAAGGCTTGAATATCACTGTTCGGGTGAGTAAAATTAGATTCAAAAATATAGATTTTTTTAAAATCAAATTGATTCAATAAACTCAACTTAAAAATTATTTAAATAAAATTTAATTTATAAAATTGAAGTCGAATAACTCGAAATCTTCAAAAATTAATAGATTAGTTCCAAATTCAAGTCCCTCACTTTTATGTGATATATATAAATTGTATATTAATATACCTATATATATATATATATATATATATATATATATACACTATCTTATATAATGGAGCCACTGGATAATTATACCAAAACCACATGTACAACTGAATATAAATAATGGTCTCGATTGGGAAGAGAGCACTGGTTAGTATGCATGTGTATACACACGGGAAAACATCAAAGAAAAGCAACAATCATTGAATTAAAAGCTAGATAATCAATAAGTTGTATACCAGCATGTAATGTAAATAAAGCAGTTCATTCCAATTCCAATCCTGTCAACATAGGCCGGTGGTAGATTGGGCGAAGAGCTCTGGAGTGAAGCAACTCCTGTTCATCAGCAGTGCTGGAATCTATAAGCCGACGGACGAGCCGCCTCATGTCGAAGGGGTATATTTAAACAATATGTGAATGTATATAATGTTGCCCGTAGCATGAATAAACAATACCGGATCCGTTGTTTAAGCAAATCTTCACCATTGCAGGATGTTGTTAAAGCTGATGCTGGCCATGTCGGAGTCGAGAAATACATTGCAGAAGTTTTCATTAGTTGGGCTATATTCCGGCCACAATACATGATCGGATCCGGAAACAACAAAGACTGTGAGGAGTGGTTCTTTGACAGTAAGTCAAAGCAATATTTTCAACTTATCCATAGAACTTTGCTATCAGTTTTTGACAGTTTCTTGCAACAGGAATTGTGAGAAATAGACCTGTGCCAATACCAGGCTCAGGGATGCAACTTACCAATATTGCCCATGTTAGAGACTTGTCCTCCATGCTGACCCTAGCTGTTGAAAAACCAGAAGCTGCATCTTCCAATATCTTCAATTGTGTGAGCGACCACGCAGTGACTCTGGATGGAATGGCCAGATTGTGTGCCGAAGCTGCCGGCTTACCGGTAGAAATTGTTCATTATGATCCAAAAGCTGTCGGAATCGATGCGAAGAAAGCTTTTCCTTTCCGTAATATGGTAAACAATACCTGTTAACCTGAGCATATACTGTTTTCAAGCAAAAATATGATTTCAGTGCAACAAGTTCACAGTATAGGTATTATTTACCAATATCCTTCTTACGTGCAGCACTTTTATGCCGAACCAAGAGCTGCAAAGGACATTCTGGGGTGGGAGGGCACTACAAATCTGCCAGAAGACTTGAAGGAGCGATTCGAGGAGTATGTAAAGGTCGGGCGTGACAAGAAACCCATGAAGTTCGAGATAGATGATAAGATACTAGAGGCCCTTAAAGTTCCGGTAGCTGTTTGATAAACCATAATCAAGGGGCACTTTAAAGTTGTAACTCATACGAGTCCAAGCTGCCATTATGTATTTGTTGTTTTCGTTTCCCCTGATACAAGTCCTTTCTCTGTTACATGAGTCATTTCCATTGATGATAAATAAAGTTTCTACCTTTCCATAAACCAAGTGATGCATTTGCAGATATAAAGAAACCAGAATAATAATTAACTAAACCTACTACCGTAATACCTTGACGTAATTTACAAGCCAAGCAATGAACAGAGCATACATGAGTGGAAACAGCACAGGAGAGCCACCGAGTCAATCACAAAGAAGTATTGGGTGGATGAACTTTGACGTCAAGATAAGGTTTCACTTCATAAGCAGCATAAGCGGCACGCCCACAGAAGAAAAAGGTAAGATCATTTTCCGGCATCGGGCCTACAGAAGCTCCATTAACATATTACAAATACAATTAAACAAGATGACAACACGAGCAAGAGGGGAAGCAATACCTTGTCTTAAGTTGACCATCACTTGCTTTTTCATATAAAATCTCAAAAAGCATTTGAGAAAAGAAAAAAATGCACGCTAAACCATAGAACAAGGTTGCATCTTAAACAGATGACTGCTGAGCAACAGTACATATTACAGATGTAACTAAAGAAAAATAATAACCTGTCCGAAAAGTACATTGCTCTATGAGAGTTTAAACTAAATTAAGCTCTCTGCTAAATAAAGGTACAACTATTCCGGATGTTCCAATATTTTCTTAAACCTGAACTACAATGGTAGATCTACCACTAATGTTGCACAGCTAGAGTAGCTTATAATAAGTCATAGAAAATAGAAGAGTTGTTTAGATGATTTTTAGCCGGATGCCATGAGAACAGATGGCATACACAGCACGACTATTCTCCTTGCTCAATCTTGAGATCCTTAAGCTTGGAGTAAAAAAAAACATTCTCATCTTCTGCATTCTCCTCATCGTCGTCCTCATCGTCATAATCTTCTCCTTCTGGATCATTCTCATCTAAAGGTCCAAGCATATCAGGGGAACTTTTAAACATTTCCTTCACCTCATCTATTCCTTCATCAGATATGAAATTTCCATTGATATTCAGCAACTTAAATCCAGGTATTTTCACAACCGCTTGGGTCAAAAGCCTTGCCCCAGCTCTCCTAATAGCATTTGTGCTCATATCAACTTCATTCAACCGACTATGACCCTCTCCTAATGCCTCACCAATCAAAATAGCACCTTCATCCTTGAGTTCATTCTCAGCCAAGTTTATTTTTGTAAGGAATTTTTTTGAAGCAATACAGACAGCTATAGAAGCAGCACCTTTGGCTGTAATGTCATTTCCAGCCATGTCCAGAACTTCAAGAGAAGGAGCAGACTCCTTCAGAACATTGGCAAGAGCTTCCGCCCCATCATCCTCCAGGTTCAAATAACTGAGGTAAATCTCAGTAAGATCTGCAAATAGAGGGAGAGCTTTGCTCAAAGCAACTCCAGCTTCCACGCCAAACATGTTGTCACGCAGATCAAGCTTCTTTAAATGGGTACATGTCTTTAGTGCTTCAGCTAGAGCCACACCACCATCTGAGCCAACTCTTGTTGAAGAACACCGGAAATCTTCCAATACAGGGGAAAGTTTCACAATTTCAGAGATAGCAATTGCACCTTCATCCCCTGTCATGTTATTGTGAAACTGGAGAACTTTCAGTTTCTCAGTAGAAGGAATTAGCTCAGAAACTGCTCGTGCAGCTTCTTCTGAGATACCATCATTCATCAAATAAAGCTCCTCCAAATTATTCTGTGACTTCAGGAGTGCCTCAAATGCCCGAACACCCTTTTCACCCAAGGCATTGTTTGAAAGGTTCAGGTACCTCAATTGAGAACCTTCCAGAGCAGAAGAAAAAAGATTCATGACTTCAAGTGCTTCAGACTCTGGCCTTCCTGCAACAAAATCTGAAAGGTCTACCTCAGTCAGCTGAGACTTAATGGATGACAAGATGGGTGCAGCAACCTTTGCTGCATCCATGCCAAAACTTCTGTTGCTAAAACATATCTTAGTATATGAATTTCCTGGCTCTCTAAGTGGTTTCAAAATGTCCTCAGCCTCCTCTGCATCTATAAATGCCCGTCGACTTCCAGATATATCAAAGACATTTTCATGAACATCAATTTTATCTGCTACCTCTTCATCCTTTCCTGTAGGGCCTCTTTTAATAACTTCCAGCATCATCCTACTGGATTCTTTGGCATATACTTGCACTGCAGAACTTCCATCACCATCAGGCTCCTTCTTGTAGTGTTGATCGGCAACGTCAAAAGCTAACTCTTCAATTTTCTTGGCATCCTTCTCAGCTTCTTCAATACTTAATAGTCCATACTTCCTAGAAAAAATGGATGGTGTTGTAAGATTCTTTGTCATCCGCTCTACAAGCATCACCCTTGTACTATGACTAGGAGGCCACAATTTCACTGACAGCATGCGGTGTGCAGTCCCAGATTCCATATCCAATTAACCTAACACCATCAGAGATTACAAATACATTATAAATATGAGATGAAAATATAAATAAAGGACACAAAAACCAAAATGATCAACAAATCTGACGTTCTTCTTAAGCAACTTCTGTTATATGAAGTATTTGCACAGCATAATAAGAACATGAGTTAAACTGCAACGCCTAAAACTGGCATAGAACAAATAATAAAAAAGTAGACAAAATCTCAACAATGTTGTTATACTAAAAAAGAACCTTGATTTATAAATCCACCACTTATCATGAACAGCAACAAATAGGTTCTTACTATGAAATTCTTATCATGATTGATCTATTAGGCAATTCCTTCAATCAGTTCATACAACTTTAGTGAGAAATTACCAGAAGCAGTCTTATTTGATTCTAACTAAACTGGCATGGCATCAATTACATTTCATTCTTACAGAAGAACCAAACACCAAAATATGTTACCAATAGTAATGGAGATACCATGCATCAATCAAAAGACTAGCAAAATACAATATTTACCAATGATCAGAGAGTGGTAAATTCTAGATTCTATGAGCCACAATTTCAAAAGGTGCAAAACTGCAACAGAAAAGATAGTACTGATTGTGGAAGAAAGTAGACAAAGTTGCATTTCTTCAAGGGAAAAACTTAAAATTAACCGATACGAAAATTTAAGTATATATCCACATCCATAGAAATTTCAGTCCATGAACATATTGAATAGCTATATCTTACAAACAAGTGAAAACTTCTGCATTTGAAAACAGATATTCCAATCATAGAGAATTTATGTTTTTGTGCACATATGAGGTGTGATAAAAATACAACTCTTCTTTCCAAATCCCAAAGTCATTGAGCAAAGCATATCTATACACATGACAGATCTTAAATATAACAAAAATTCTATCAAGCGTATTTCACACTGATATAGTATCACCACCCATTACCCATACGATTAAAAACAACATTGTCTCCAATCCACCACAACTGAGCAGTCAATCCATCCAAATAATAGTTGAGCTTTTAACAGTCCTCGTAAACTCAACAAATAAATCATGAGAAACTAAGGGGAAAGCCCTCATATAGGAACGGGCGAAAAAGAAACGAAAAGAGTGCAAAAGTCAAAACCCTAAAACGTAATAAATTCACAAAAATTACTGAGCTCACAGTAGTTTGTTCCCAAGTGGAAATAAATAGTGTTTCAATTTCTTACTTGTATTTCTAACCCGTTAGCAAAAGGGAAAAGTTAAGAACTCTGTTACTCTTGCACCAGCCGATTCACCGAGAACCTGAAACGAGAAAAAATATTAAAAGGATAAACCCAAAATTTATCAACTTAGATTTCTTGTTTGAAGTCAAATAAAACAGCTAACCGAATAGTATACACAAAGCCCATAGAAAGGGGAAATGGAAGAAACCCTAAACTGATGATTTTCTCGAGAAACAAACAAAAAAAACCAAAACCATAAAATGGGGAGGGAATTAAACACCTTTTTTCTCCTTTCTTTTTGTAGGTATCCGTGCTGGAGATTGGGATTTTTAGAAAGGAGAGGCTAGAGGGATTTTAAATAGTGGGGAGCGGAGCAGAAAGAGTAATGATAAAGAATTGGAGGAAAATGAAATTACGGATTTTTTACTTCAAAAAAATATGCGTAGGATTTCCGCTTCCAAAATTAATTTCAAATTACAAATTAGGTCCCCACTTTCTTCTGTATTTTAACAGTTCCGGCCTTTGGGTTTTATTATTATTATTATTATTATTATTATTATTATTATTATTATTATTATTATTATTATTATTATTCTTTGGGCTTAAATAACTAAAAGTTGTTGGGTCTAGATTTAGGGTTCCATCTGGTGGAAATAATAATTCATACAGCAACGATATTTTTCTCTCGAAAATTGTATATTTTTAAATAAAAATCAGTTGGTCTAGTAGGATGAGATACAAGGTTTCTTAAGTAAGGTCAGGGTTTCAAATCATGTCGTTTGCGAATGGAGCAAGCTAAGTTGTGAGGGTCATCCTCGCCTTTGCAGTATCCGATCTGGATTAGTCAGTCAATAAATAGGATATCAGTGATTAATTCAAAATAATAAAGAAATAAAATTTTAATTATGCATAACAAGGAAAATAATTTTGACAACCACTATATACCATTATCTAAAAAAATCATCTCGAACGTCGATCACATATAAAAAATCATTTCACTTAAAAATTTGAATTTTTAATAATTTAAGGTAATTATAAGATAGTATATATTCAAAATATTTATGGCAGTGAAAAAATGATTTTTTACCTCATAAGCAATGCTAAATATCCAAAATTTGATTTAAAATGTTAGAAAAGTGATTTTCAATCTAATCTAAAATGCTCCCATCGACTAAAGCTCCTCCAATATTGCTTTAATATGATTCTCCATTGTTCGATACTCAATTTTTAAAGGTACATAATTAAATAATATTATATTTACTATTTTTTAATTAGAATTATTTGATCTTATATTTAATTTTAGTATTCCTTTAGTTAATTTAATAATTGTTAAGGTGAATGGTGATTACTAAATTTGATTTTTTTAATGTTCGTGAATTAATTTTATAGAAATGTAGCTTGCCATGGGAAAAATCCAACAATTATTGAGATGTTTAAGAGAAAAAGCGGGGAAACTTCGAAAAATACAAGTACAACAACTGAAACTTCAACTGGTACACCTATTGACGTTTCACCTTCGGAAGATAGACCTTTAAAGATAGCCAAAAATCAGAAATCAAGTACCAACTCTGATTACTTGTAGCGAGATCTTGGTAAGCACAAGCAAATATGGGAATATCCTTCTGAACAAGAAAGAAATGTAATTTGAAGAGTTTATATTGCTGAGGGTCCATATCAACTAGTAATCTTTGAATTCAAAAAAGTTGGACATGTTTCTTGCCAATTTCAAGTTTCATGGTACAAAAACTTTCGTTCACGGTTAGAATATTCTCCTGAAAATGATGTTTTCTTCTGTTTTATTTGCTTTCCTTTCAACAAACCCGATAGGCATCTATCATACAAGACTTTCACTATAAATGGGTTTCGAAATTGGAAGAAAGTAAATGGAAAAAGTTGTTATTTTAAGATGCATGTAGGTTCATAACCTAATTCACCTCATAAAATTGTTGAGCAAGAATTGGAGGGTTTTCTTAACTAGTCTAGACACCTGCCACAAGTGTTGCATAAGAAAACATCATTACAAATTGCTAATAATAGGATTAGACTTGAAACCTCTATAGATGTATTGTGTTGGCTAGCTTTACAAGGTCTACCAATGAGAGGTCGTGACAAGAGTGAATCTTCATCTAACCGAGGAAATTTTCTTGAGCTCGTGAAACAATTAACCTCTTATAATAAAGATGTTGAAAAAGTTGTATTAGAAAAATGCTCCAAAAAAAGCTTCTTACACTTCTCCTGAAATACAAAAGGAGATTTTACATATTCTGGCAAAGAAAATTAAGAGAGCAATTCATGAAGAAATTGATGAATAAATTTTTTTTTGTTATTATTAATGAAGCAGGGGATGTATTAAGAAAACAACAAATGGCTATTATTTTATGGTATGTTGATAATTTTGATATAGTAAAGGAATTTTTTTTAGCATTATTCATGTTCTTAATACTTCAGAAGTGACTTTAAAAGATGAGATATTTTTCGCTCTTTCTAGTTATTGCTTTGACATAAAGAATATTTGAGGCCAATGTTATCACGGTGCAAGTAATATGTGAGGAAAGTGGAATGGGTTACAAGCATTAGTTAGCAATGAGTGTGTAACACCCATCTCTCGTATACCTTTATGTACACGAGATATAGATGTCACATCACTTTTAAAACAGTTCTTTTAAAAACCCATAAAATTTTATTTTTTTTCTAAAACATTTTAATTAAGACTGTTATAAAACATTCATTAAACTTAATTACATAACAAAAAGTATCATTCAAATGTTTCATCATTTTACAAAATGGTAAATCAAATGTTTTTCAGAGCGTTTTTACTAAATATTTTACATGCCAACTAAATACATCAAAAAGTAGACATGTATGTCATATTGTTAGTGACGAGGCGACCCTTGCATTGATGTCCGATGATCTCCTTACTCTACTTGTATTACGACCTACGCTTGAAATAAACACATGTTAAGTATTTACTTAGTGAGGCAAGACTAATAGTACAATGAACTCATCATTTCGTTATTTCATATTGATCAAGTACCAATTCATTCATTTCAAGTTAATATCATTTCGTTGCGATTCACACATAGTGCCTATGCGGTCATTCATAAACTCATTATGAATTCCGTGGGGTGCACACATAGTGCCAAAACAGTTATTCATCAACATATGATGAATTCCGTGAATTGCACACTTAGTGTCGAAACGGTTATTCATCAATATATGATGAATTCTGTGAATTGTACACTTAGTGCCGAAACGGTTATTCATCAACATATGATGAATTCCTTGGCACACTTAGTACATAAACGGTTATTCATCAACATATGATGAATTCCGTGAATTGCACACTTAGTGCTGAAACGGTTATTCATTAACATATGATGAATTCCGTGAATTACACACTTAGTGTCAATTTAGTAATCACCACACACATATTAAGAAATCATACATATGTGACTAGTATAACATATAGTTATACAACATATAGTTACACAATTAAATGCACTCACTTGGCTTTCCTCGCTACGTATCCAAAACGTAAAGCTGATTACTCCGGTACTTTGCCTTTGCCCTTAGTTTTGCTTGTCTCTGGATCTTGATTTCGATATACTCAAGCATCCATTAAAGACACATACAATGTCAATTGTTAGTATATTTCCTAACAATTATACTTAAATAATACTCAAAAGTACATATTATTAAATTTCTATAACAATCTCAGCCTATCTTAACATTTTTGGCTCAATAGTATCGATACCCCTACCATGGTATCGATACTACTATACTATGGTACAGATACTCTATTACGGTATCGATATCATTTTTGCATTCTGTTATCAATGATATCGATACCTTCGTCATAGTACCGATACCCCCTTTTGGTATCGATACTTCTTACATCAATATCGATAATACCCATATGTTCTTCCCATTTTAAGCCTATAGTATCGTATTGTTCTATCAGTACCGATATTCATGCCCATATTTTCTAGTTTTTAACCCGATTATTACCCAAATGGGGTTAAATTTCGTTATGTTTACACCCATCAATACTATTAAACTCTTCTTTACCTATCCATACTAACTTTCCTTCATTTAGCTTCTTAAAACATCTAAAATCTTCCAAGAACATTCAAATCTAAGAATCACACCACTTTTTCTAACATGTTCTTAATCCTATCCAATGTTTCTAATCTCTCATTTACCTCTTTGACAAGTCAAATCTACCAGTAAACATCAATAAACACTCATATATTAACATATCATTTCAAAACCCATTTTCTAAAATCTTCATTATTTCCTCTATCTCATAGTTTTAATCACATCTAATCCTTCCTTAAGCTTCTATCATACTCAAGGTTTCAAAACCCAACCAAAAACGAAAGGATAAACTAGTAATTTGAAAACTCACATTTGAGTTATAGAGGAGAGCTATCCACGGGGAAAGAAGAAGAAAAGAGATAATTTTTAGCTAACTTACCTTTTTCCCCTTTTCTCCTTATTTAAATACCTTGATAACAATGGGTTTTAAATTCATTTTCCCCTTGAAGGACCAAAATGCCCTCTTAATCATCCATTACTACAATTTAGTCTAAACCACTATTCCAAATCATTCTCATCTTTTATCAATTAATCAAATAAATCCTCAAATTTTAAATCCTTTCAATAAAGTCTCTAATTCGATATTTGGGGTATTACAGAGTGTCCTTTTGCTTACTATGTGCATTGTTTTTCCCATCGTTTACAATTGGCACTAGTAACTACAGCGAAAGAGGTCATACATGTTTATCAATTTTTTCAAGTTATCATTTATTATCAATGTTGTTCTTGCCTCATATAAGCGCATCGATGAACTAAAAAATGCTTATTCTGACGAGATAAATCATTTGATTGAAGAAGAACAACTTGAAATTGGAACTGGTTTGAATCAAACAAGTAATTTGTAGAGGGCATGTGATACTCGATGGAGTTCTTACTTGAGATCAATTTCAAGCTTGATAAAAATGTTTAGTGCCACTTGTGTTGTTCTATATAAACTCATCGATGAAGGAAGTACATCTTCTAAACGTGGAGAAGCGGTGACAACTTTAGAAACTTTGACTTCCTTTGATTTTGTCTTCACTTTACATCTTATGAAGAAAATATTAGAAATCACTGATTCACTTTCTCAATCATTACAACGAAAATCTTTGGATATTTTGAATTCACTACATCTTGTTGATAGTTTAAAGATACTTTTGCAGAAATTTAAAGATGATGGATGGAATAATCTTTTTATGGAGGTTACCTCATTTTGTGAAAGTCACAATATAGATATCCCGTATATGAGTTCTATTTATAGAGAAGAGTCTGTCGCCAACAAGATCATTTTTCAGTTGAACACATTATCGAG